CGTCCATAAATAGGTGCATGAAACTTAACAAAGTTGCTTGCATGGTTGTTTCAAGCGCATGGGATATATACAATTTTACAAAATCCAATGAAAGTTTAATTTTAATGTTCAAACAAATAAGTAAATCAAAGCGTATGAAAAAGAATATACAATTTTACGAAATCCAATCGCGATGAGTATGAAATAACTCTCAAAACTGTAAACTCAACAATGCTCAAACTTTCTCATACGAAAGATTATCTTTCATAATATATAATCCGGCACTAAATAAACTATCATTAATATTTATTAAATTTACTGTTACTCATACTCATTCCAATTTTAAGTGTATTCCAATTCTATCTCAAAAATATAATTTAGACAGATTTGACAGTAAATTCAATAATCTTAAGAGTTAGCATATAAATGTTACATAAGTACTTTCGGATAAAAAATTTTACATTTGCGTAAATAAAGGATACTAATGTGTCGATTCTAAACAATCCAAGATATATAAATGCTATGGAAAAATAACAGAGGGCATATAAGTGCTAAGTGGTTGAAACTATAAGGTACTCAAGTTCTATTTATTAGCCAAAAATAAAATTTAAAAAAAAAGATAGAAGAAGAACGTTACGATATCAATGCGAACACTGTTGCAACCGTTCCGCATGGCCACGAAGGGGTAGAGCCAGAATTTAAGCTCACGCACAATAACGATCATGACCCCCGCGGCTGGCGGGAAAAAAAAAAATAAAGAAACACGCTTTTATTAGGGTGGTTCTAGGAGCACACCACCAACCATAACATTAACCATACCTCATCTCTTATTTGTTACAGTACACCGGGTCCCACATGGGATTTTAAAATTTAAAATCTCATGTGAGACCCGGTACACTGTAACAAATAAGAGAAGGAGTGTGATTGTGATTGTGGTCGGAGATGTGCCCCTATCATTTTCCCTCTTTTATTAGGAGCAGAAACAATGGACACAGGGACATGATTGTACTCATCCCCCCACACAAATGCCAATAAAGAGCACAGCATCCCGTCCAAAGGGGAAAAGGAATCTCGCAGGGGACCCTCTCTCCTCATACACTATTGATAATTTCCTTTGTCCAATGGCCCCTGCCGCTGCACCTAACTCTGAAATTAAAGCGAAGAATGGTCCCGACTCTGTATCTCTACTTAAATTCTTCTTGTAACCGTACAATTAAAATTTTCCATTCCTCCAAAAACAAAAAGTTGAGGCAGGAGAGTTATCATTTCGCGGGCTGAAAACTATACTTAGCAACAAGAACGGATCTAGAATTTTTTTTTTAAATCTTTGGGGGGCACATGTATAGTTATGCATATTAATTAGTAACTTAGATTATATAAATTCTAGCTAATTAAAAGTTTATTCATACAATAATCGCAAAGATCTCAACACGTAATATTTTTCATCATCATTTTCATATCATGTTTTTAATTCTATAACCAAAACTAACAAAATACTATGAAAATCAAATAATAGTCCTTCATAATTATTCTCTATGTGGTCTCATGTTTCATTTGATCGGAGGCGCCTATTAAAAAATCTGTAGGGGCACCCGTATGAATTTGTTACCCATTAAAAAGAATTCAAAAGTTATACCGTGGCAAGTGCCCCCGCGAGTCTATATATAGATCCTTTCATGCTTAGCAATATTTTTTTTCCCCTAATCTGATTTAGAAATTTGTGGCCAATAATATTTGAACTTGGATTGCTCTGATATCATGTCAAAAATCGCTGTCACTGTATCTAACCTCTAAAATTATGGTGAGGGTTTGGATCTACTGATATTATATACTGGCAACGCTAATTTAGAAAATGATAATGAGACACTAAGTGAGTACAAACAATGCGTACACCAATGTAACTAGCTACGGGGATAATCTAGGGCCATATATATATACGATTGTTTTTGCAAGTGGGATGATGACTGATGATGGCACTTAACATGAGAACAAACCGATCCTCGCGTGGGTCAGTTCTAGGTCGAGTCTGGCCTCGCCTTAGCCTACAAAAGTTCAGGGTCAGGTTCCAATCATGTACCCCTTCTGGCTCACAAAACACACCCAAAAATAAAATAAAATAAAATAAATACGACACGCATAGCATGAAATTAAAAAAAAAAATACTGTTCCACACTGTGCTGAATAGTTTCACAACAAGCAATGGCGTTTATTATGGTTACGACTATGATTCTGAGTCCTCGTACCTCAAGTTGGAATCTGAGAGATTGAATAATACAGAGAGGGCGTTTCAATAATGGAATCATCTTGTACTGAAATATCCATTTATTCCTTTTAAGAAAATAGAAAGTGGTGAAGAAGTTAATTTGTCTTGAATATTCGTAACCATTCATTACAACTAGCTTTTGCAATAAATTCACATAGATTTCCAACCTCAGAGATTAGAGTACGAATTTTATCTGAGCGTGCATTTCACATATGCGGAAAATACTACATAGCTCCCCACTTTTGGAAACAAATGTACGATTACGTATGTTATTGTGGCAAATACCCACCTATGAGCTCTTAACTGAAATCCAAAGTCCAAATATCACCGCAATCACGATTATAAAAGTTAATCAACGCTTGAGATTAAAAGTAGTGGTTTCTCCACTACTTTTTTGTAAAGGAGAGGATCCAAATCCATTATCTATGAAATGATTTTTGGAATGTAAAGCATATTGATTATTGAGACGTTTTGGAATGTAAAGCATATTGATTATTGAGACGTGGCTACCAACGGAACATGCACACTATACCAAAATGTGGCCCATTAGATTGAAAATTATTGACACTGGAGGCTTGCCACCTAAATGAATAATTAACAAGACGTATGCAGTGAATCACTCATATGCCTTTTCAATTATTATCAAATTTATTGGAAGAATTATTTGAAAGCTCCATTACCAGGGAGTCTGGGAAACATTATGTCCCTAAACGACAAAATGATCAAAATAATTTAGAAGGGCTAACCAATAAAGAGGGAAATTGGTGTTGCGCGATGTGTACGTTGTTCTTTGCTTCGCCTTTGCTTTTGCTTTTCCCAGTCACGCTTCAGCTCAAGGCACTTCATTTCTTGTCCAAAGTGGGACAACTCACATTTTTAGTGTAGAGTGTGCTTCATTTCATTTTCCTTTACCTAGAATTTGGGATCATGTCAAACATTCTCATTTCTTTTCTTTTTTGGTGGTCTTGCTTGTAGCCAATTTTTTTTTTTCTGTTTCATGAGAATATTTTGATTCAGCTACCTAATGTTTTTAGCTTTGATTAAATCGTGTCACATTCCATGAAGTTGGGCACACCATGAGCAAAGATGAAGGTGACGTATCATCAAATTTTCTATGTGCTCTTGTTTACTATTTTTAGCCAGAAGAGAGAGAGACTTAGACGAAAGTTTTTTGATTCAATTCATACTTTAAATGTATATAGTATTACTTATTAGCAATATCTTAAAACATTATCTTAAATTTAATTCCTCTAACAATTAGACCAAAATTACAAAGTTATGGTGAAAGTTGATGTTTATATTTTGTATTCTAACATGTCATCGCAGATTGAGGGCCCTCTTAATGAGCTGAAACCTAGACTCATGCAAACGAAATTACTTTTTATAAAAAACCGAATTAAATTCGTGGCATGTAAGATTTGAACCCGAATTGCTCTTATATCATCTTAAAATCCCTCTAATTATTGCATCAAAACTCCGAAATTATGATGAAAGTTGATGTTTATATTTTTATATTATCCCAAGTGGAAACATAACCCGCGTGTGCAAAAGAAAGTTTTGGATGTCCAGTGACAAAACAACTGATCCATATTTAAGGGTCACGGGTAAATTATGTGATTCGAGAGTGTATCCTGGAAAATGATGGAAATTGATGCCTATAATATTTGTTCAAATCCTTAAAATAAAATAGAAAAAAAAAATAGAAAAATCTCCAGAAAGGAAGGGAGAAAGGAGTCTCAACAGTCAATCGTTTAGTAATTTATGAACCATGAAGTTTGAATCCACAACAATATCTGTAAGTTTCCTTATATCATAACTGCTCTGACTTTTCTCTAAATAATTTATTGATTGAAGCATTACAGATGGGAGAAGCGTTGGCATAAATCAGAAACATGGAATCACACATAAATTAAGTCCATTCAATCTGAGACTATGTTGTGCTACAACTACAAACGAATCTTGTGATCTCGCATTACTAAATACCCCTTAATAAGTGGGACTAAAAATTATTTTAAAAAACTGAACAAAGCGAATCCTAACATTATTATGCCTTAAAACTCAAGCAAACAATCCTTTTAATTATGCAGGACCGCGTTCTTCTCAACGTTTCTGTTATAGAAATCACATGCAACGCCTCCTTCACCCCCATTAAAATCTGTTATTTAAAAAAACATTTAAAAAAAAATAGAATTATCCTCTTTTTAGCATCTCAACTTCTCGTCTCACCTCCAGTCTTGTTGAAGGCTCAACTCCTTGTGGGTTTACTCACTCTGCGGGCTACTTTCGCGATGGATAAAAAAAGGGACCCAGGTGTCAGTGAGAATATTCATTGCGTGTATTTAGGAAAATTGTTATCAGATGCATTTTGTATAATAAAATAACCTGCACCAAAAATGTCTTTTCCTCTCTGTTTTGTTTACTGCTGGGATCTTTGGAAGTGGGATTACAACAAGAATCGAATCTCAAGGTTCGAAAGATAATTTCCAGCACACCCACATTTCCAAGCACCCAAAATGCCTTTTTACTGACAACTGGGCCCCAATAACAGTGATAAATGACAAATCTTATCGTACGGTGTCATTTAATTTTGAGGATTCAAAGTATCAAACCGTCCTCTTCTATTTTAAGTAAAAAATAATTAGCTGGGGGGTATTCTAGTCATTAGCAAAAGAGAGTGGGAGTCTCTCTCAAGAGCTGTTCCGTGCTGGAGGCTCCACTCCACTTGCCGTCTCTCTTCTTCTCTTTCGTCCCAAAGTTGCAAAGAAAAAAAAAAGCAAAGAAAATAAAGTTAGAGAGAGAAAATAGAGAGAGAGAGAGAGAGAGAGAGAGGATGATGATGGCTTGGAATATCTAAGATGGAAAAAGCAGCGACACCCCATCTGAAAAAGTTAAAGGTTTCCTCAACGACTATGGACTTCCTTCACTTTCTCCTTTTAAAATGAATTGAAATTGAAACGAGTAAAGATGCTCATCATTCCTCTCTGAAAACTTCTCATTCTTTGGTTTCTTTCACGCGTGGCATGGGAGCTTGATTCCATCATTAGATAGAGAGCAGAGGAGAGGATATGTGGAGAAAAGGAGCGAGCTTGTGATCGCGGGAGCTTGAAGAGGATTCAGGGTAAGTGTTTTTGGGCTGTCTAAAATTACCCATTTTGCAAAGTTGGACCTTTAGTCAGTAAAACTTTGTTCTTTACTGTTTTTGTTCGATTTCGAGAAAAACCCATATCTTAGTTTTTGCTATCGGATCTCGAAAGAAATCAACTAGTTCATTGTTCAGTAAGTTGATTGTATTGCGTGAGGTTGAGGAAAGTATTATTTACAAGTGCCAACCAGTTCTTAATTTGAATCTCTCTGACAGCAAGACTCAGCTTATTATCAAGATAATAATCTAGAGTATGTCGGCATCTTGGGTTTTCTCATCGTTGATCCTTTATTTCTGGTCTTTGATTTATGAGCAAATTTCTTCTAATTTTACTTCAGTTCTGTTATGGAACATACCTTTAAAGTTTGAGCTTAATTTAAGCTGATAAAGATAGTGGTTATGAACCATCCACTGTTTCCCCTTAATGATGTTCTGTGTGCTGGTTGAGCTCTTGTAGAACCAACCATAAACGAACATTTGGGTCTAAAGGCCCTTTTATGATGAATTCTCATTTTTTTGCTAATTAAATTAGAAATGGGTTTGAAATTAGAAAGAGGGTTGCAGGTTGTGCATTCTTCAAATTCTATACATTCACGGCTCCTTTCTTGAGAATCCTTGTATGGTTAGAATTGATACTTCCATACACTAATTCTATGCTTATTTGCAGTATATGTAGTGAATCAAAATTCTTTCTTTTTGTGTAGGAGTTCTTCTCAAGCATCGTGATTGGGAAATAAAGCTCTTGAAGTAATCAAATCAAATCAGTAGCTGAAGTATATTCTTCGAATTTAAGAAGACAACATTTACAAATGGCAGATTTAAGGGTTAGAAGAGTTGAACCGGGCCAGACCAAGATCAGAAACGTTCCCATTGCAGTAACTCCAGAAGGATTTTGGTGCTGCCCTTCACCTGTTGTGTTTCAAAAGACAATCAAGAATCAAAACTACCAAAATAAGCAAAAAACAACCCCTCCATCTTCAAAAGCCCCAGTTCCAAAATCACAAAACCCCCAAATGGAAAAGAAACAAAATGCTACACATCCAAGATCCAAGGGTCTCTCTGACGACCAAAAGTGTGCAGCTTCCGATAACTCAACAGTAGGACCTGAAAGAGCATTGAAAGCTAATGGCGAGGCTCAGCAAAGGAAAATATCTGTTGGCTTTGGTCAGCCCGAGAGTAGTGATCTAAAGGTTGTTTTGTTTGGGAAAGAGGGTATTTCTGTGAGGATGAGCGTCCACAAGAATATTCTTGTAGAACATAGCAGCTTTTTTAAAGACAAGCTTTCGGTGGAGTCTCCAGTATCGTGTGTTGAGATTGGGGATTGTGAAGATGTAGAGATTTATGTTGAGACTGTTGGACTGATGTACTGCAAAGAAGTGAAGCATAGATTGATCAAACAAAGTGTTCAGCGTGTGTTACGCATATTGAAGGTAAGTTCATATGTGAATAATCTTTATTTTTGTTTGTTTCATATAGCTAGTGAATGTTCTTTTCCTGCAGCATTTCACATTAGGTGAAATCATGAAGATTTTCCTGATTTCCACATGCAAACTGTTTTTTGGTTTAATACCAAGTAATTTCTTCAGCATCTTATATTATGTTAAGATGTTGTAGATAAATCCAATTCAAAGCCAGTCCTCCTGTACTTAGAAGTGTACAAGTAAAACTCTGTCCTTTCTGTGTCTCTTACAGGTTGAGGTTTTCTTTTTCATTTTTTAATTAGAGTCTATATGTTTAAGAAGTTATCCTGTTGTAAAACCCTTCATATTAGAGGCCTGAGAAATCAAGAAATGTCAAAATGTTTGCATCCATTCAAATGTGAAAAGTTTCTGAATTTAACGAAAACAATATATGGGGAAAATAATCCTGTATGGAGTGAGTATCTGGTTGAACTATGGTTAATTAACTTCGGGATGCAAGATTCAATAGGTTCCCTTTTGGGTTTTGTACGGTACTTATTTATGAATTTGTCCCTCTCACAAGATTCCGTGTTAGCCTGAATTCCTAACAGAGGTAGTTATAATTTGTTTATAATTTGTGTCTTAGTTGGATCTTATGACAAGATCACTGTGATTTGAGTCACTGTAAATAGAGCATTTATGAGGAATGATATGGAATCAAAGATTTTGTTTTCCAGATTAAAGGTTCGTGACCACTGCTTAATATGGTTTGGAAGTCGAACAAAAGATTGGTCATTGATTCATTCATCTGGTCGGAAACTTGTTTATAAACTGCCAAAAGTTGGGAAATTTTGAAATTAGCATTGTCGATTGTCATGTACTAGTTTTGGTACTAAAGTTTATGTACTAGTAATGCCGATTTGTCCACTTATTATCACGTGCTTTCAGATGATATAGAGGTGGTTGCTTACGATTTAATTCATTGCATGAGCTAATCAGTTATGATTTTTAATTAAACATTATGCTCTAGTAACATGTATCATCGTAACATAAGTATCTTCTTACAGGTAGCTGAAGCACTTGGCTTCCATGCTTGCATGAAATCTTGCTTAGAATACCTCGAAGCAGTCCCTTGGGTTGGAGAAGAAGAAGAAAATGTCGTCTCATCCATTCGACACCTACAAATCGATAATTTCGGGGTCAGTCCTCTCCTAAAACGAGTGTCTTCAGATATCTCTAATCCTCCCAATGATACGCTTGCTCACATACTGGAGTTGGTCCTCAAAAGCAGTGATGACAGGGGCCGCCGTGAGACAAAATCACTAGTATTAAAACTCTTAAAAGAAAACAGCCTTTGGATAAGTGGTGCTGTTGACATATGCACTGAAACCTTATATAATTCATGCCGAAGCTGCTTAAACTTGCTATTACTTCTCTTCAAGCAAGCATCAGAGTGTGGCAGCGACCCAGACAAGAAAAAAATAGCTCTAGAAGCAGATAATCTCTTATGGTTACTTGAAATATTAGCAGATAGGCATATAGCTGATGAGTTTGTAGTAATGTGGGCAAGCCAAGATGAGCTGGCGTCTTTGCACCCAAAGCTACCGATAGTGTCTCGGTACTTGGTCAGTTGCATCACAGCGAGGCTCTTTGTTGGAATTGGAAAAGGGGAGATGCTTCCTTCAAAAGAAACTCGACAAATGCTGTTACAAGTTTGGTTGCAGCCTCTTATTGATGATTATAGTTGGTTACAACACGGATGTAGATCTTTTGATCGGAAAGTTGTGGAGGAGGGAATTGGGCGAACTATACTTACGCTGCCTTTAGAAGATCAGCAGAGTATTCTTCTGTCGTGGTTGGGGAGTTTCTTGAAAGTTGGTGATAATTGTCCTAATTTACAGAGAGCCTTTGAAGTCTGGTGGAGGAGGACTTTTATTAGGCCTCATGTAGAGCAGCAGGCTAATATGTTGCAGGGTGATAAGAATTGACTAAAGGGTGGTAGAACTGATAATAACTGTGTATAATGTTTGAGTTTGATGCACACAGGTGTATTTGAGGTTGTTGCTTGACAGAAGGTTTAGTGGTGAAAAGGTAGTAAACTTGTGAGAAATCAAGGTATGTTGTATTTGTGTTTTTTCCGGTTGGATAAACAAAGATCTTTCTTGAAGAACTTTGTACTGTATCTGCATTTAGTCAAGTTTTCAATTACAGGAATCCTTCATCTGAATGTTTTGTTAAGATTTTATTAGTGAAATACCAGGGGGCTTCCATCCTACAATTTGTTAAGATTTGGCTGTTTAGTTGGCCTGTGTTGTTTTGTCGTGGGCCGTAGCTATTTCTTCTTTTCCTTTTCTTCTGGGTGTGATTAATTTCTCAGTTCCTTATCTTGCTTGTTGTGGCAGATTGGTTGCTATTGAATCCCTGCGTCAAGTTCTCAATCCAAATACATTTTGTACATGTTAAGATATCAAAAGTGGACTAATACATATTGTAGTTAGAGGGAAAAAAAAATCCTCTATGAATTTTTTTTTTCTTTTGGGTCATAATTCAAAAGAAACATGATAGCTAAGGACAGTTATCTACCTGCTGAAGGAAAATCAGGAGCTGCATATTACTTTCTATTCAGCATTTGTGATACTCATGATATATCCATGGATCATGGATGCTCCGAAACAGCAGAATTTAACAGTTAAGAAATCGCTGCCAACTTCTTGATGAGCTAAATAGAGTTCAGATGAATAAGTTTTTTTCTGCTGAGAATAAACGTGACGTGGGGCTTTTAGGTCTAGTTTTGCCTTCTCTAGAATAGAAATGATAGGGGAGCGAGTACGACTCCCTGTATAATTCTCGATACATCCCAACGCGATATCCCCTGTAAAATCTTTGTCATTGATGAAGATTGGCTGCCTACCATAGTCCTAATTGTCAATTTCGTCAATGCACCAATCAAACACTGCACCAAATGGACCAAACCCACACCTTGACAACGTGGCGTAACGTAACCCATATTCAAATTAAGTGGTCCCACCCAAATAGTTTGATCAGGACATCCGTATGACTGTGTTACGAGAAGCCCAAAAATTCGCGTGACAGAGCATGTGGATTTTGATGTGGCTGCTTCCGACTTCGATTGACCCATCCGCAAACCTAACTTCAAGAAAACGGCATTTGTAACACGGGGGTGAAATTTCCAACTTCAGCTTTTTTGTTTCACGAAAATCTTGTTTTGTCTTCACCAACCGATAACAGGAACACAGAGAAGCGGGAATGGGCAACTGCAGCAGTCTTCGTGAGAGACGGTAAGCTTGCTGCTCATTTAGCTTCTTCTTTCAATTGAATTTTTTTTTAGTAACCTTCAGCAATATGTCCAAAATTAAGGATAGAACAAAGCCAGCGTGCTGCCAGAAAAAAAAATCCTATTTTAGCATCATGAGACTCGTGTATTACCCCAAGCATTAGCCCGTCCCTTGATCAATCTGTTCATAGACGATCGCATCGCATCGGTTACGAACAATGTTACAACTATCTATCGATAATGCTACCATCCCTGGCTCTTATCGCTTATTAGTGCGCGTATTTCTGTTATTGAAATTACCGGAAAAACTTGTGCAGGAAGAGATCAGATGAGCTAATGGGTCAGAAGCTATGCGCAATGGAAAGTGACGATCCAACTCACGAGGGCATAAAGACGGTACCAGTNCAACTGGTTCGTCTCTTTGTGTTTGCATAGTGACGTGGAACATGAATGGGAAGGTGATTAATTATCAAATCCTACGCTTGTAAAAAGTAGGATCTGTGAATACTTGAATCTTCACATAAGTTTTCTGAGCTTTGGTTTGTACTGTAAAGTTATCCTCAGGGGATCTTGAAGAGCTTGTCCGAAGGGACAGAAAATTTGATCTCCTGGTTGTTGGGCTGCAAGAAGTACCAAGGCTTAATGTTCGGCAAATGTTGCAAGCAACTCTAGAGGAAACTCACAGGTACTAGCACAAGAAATACATAGTTGTGTGACTCAAGACCATACTTGTTTTTCTATCAGAAAAGAAACTCCAAGTGTGCATTGTCTTAATGCCTGATCTTCTAGTCTTCTAGGAGAAGCCACCATGAAATCTCTTCAACTTTTCCTCTTTGGCAACAAGAACACGGAGCCCTACCTTAGAGGTGAGATGAAACGAGTCTCGTACCCGATGCTATCTCACTGTCCTTGTTTGATTTGCTTATATCTTTCGCCTTTGTATCATGTATTATTATTATTTAATTCTTAACTGAGAGCATGCAGATATAAAAGTGGATAAGCATGCGGTTGGGGGTCTGGGAGGCCTAATAGGAAGAAAGAAGGGAGCCGTGGCTATATACATCAACTTTAGTGGTATTCGCATGGTCTTCATATCTTGCCATCTTTCAGGTACTTTGATATAACATGGACTACTCCATTCAAAGGAGTTCACACTTTCTGTGAAGATGCTTATTAGTGCCCTTCACTTCCTTTTAGAATAATGGAAGGGGATCAGGTCTTGTATAAATGGCAACTAGGCCACAAAGCACAATAATCATCAAATTGGTCAATGTACTGCTAATCAATGAATTTAACTCTTATTCAAGTACTTAGGTTCCTAGAGGAACTAGTAGGGATGCACCATATTTGAATTGAATCTTCACTGGGTTACATCTAGGAGGTTGATAAAATAAGATAGAAGAATGTCTGAATACAAAAATAGAAAGATGATGGATCTCTAAAGTAGTGAATTTATTGACATCCATGGATATAAAGATGATTTTAATAACGAATTACTCATAACTACATCATCAGAAACATGACCATAAACAAAAGTTATCGAAACATTCATATCAACAAACTGCACACCATACAACACACACATGGCAACCCCCAGAATAAGATGGCATGTTGCATCCAAATTTTACATCAAATAAAAGTGGTGTCATCATTGTACTGGTAAGTGTTAGTTTTACATGGGTCATAAATAGGCGAAACTTTGCCAAAACTTGCTTCTGGCTATAAAAAATTCTTTCCAGGTG